TTTACTCTTTGAGTATTATTAAAATAGTGTGATGCTATTTTAGCCAAATTCCTAATTCTATATCTTAAGAGTGGTTATCTTAAGTGTGAGTTTTAGGTTCTAGATATTTGATTAAGTGTGTAGTATCTTAATTGAATTCTAGATTCAAACCCCAAGTTAGGATAAGAGTGTGTAATATCTCCTAACACCAACTTGGTTTTATCCATCCGTGATATTTCTTCCATTTCATATCCCTCCATTTCTCCTTCTTAATCCTATTTATTTTCTTCCATAAAATACCAAAAAAAGAACTCCTAAAACACCCTCCATACTTTCGCCCACTATTTCCCTTGCATTTTCCTCCGCACATCCGCCACTAAATTATCAACTTGATAAGACCCCCGGTTCACCCCTAACAGGGGGGCGTCAAGTTAGCCTCCCGGCCAGGACTGTCCTTTTATACCTATGGTAGATGGTCTTAAGGTTGCCAGCACTTAACATGGAAAGGTTTTCCATTTACTTATCTGCAGGATTATTTCCACCCATGGTTTGATTTTGAATTGAGTTGCTATCTTGAAATAATAGAACGAGAAAAGGTTTCAAAAACGATATTGAAGACTTCTTTTTTTTTGCAAAAGCCTTTCTCAAAACCTTTGCATATGATGCTAAATAAAGTGCTTAAACAAATAAATATTTTTTGTTCTTCTAAGTGGATGGGATGGAAAAGATAAGAGCATTATCTTTCCATGATCAGCACCTTGATAGTTGAATGGATTTAAAGGTACCTCCTTTCTTCTACTTCTTAAGTGAAGTTATTATTTTTCATGATAAGATGATAATAGAATGTAATACAAGCAACTAAGAGAACAAATATACAACAAATAATACTTACTAAAGCAGCAAATCCCCTATACAGGAGTACCTATATCATAAATTCAAATGTACGGTGTTTCCCGTACATCCGCATGAATACTCATTTTCGAATAACTGAATACTCATTTTCGAGCATAACCAAGTTTAAGAAAAATGAGTATCAATTACTCAAAAATGATTATTCAATTGCTCGAAAATGAGCATTCAGTTGCTCGAAAGTGAGTATTGAGTTACTCGTAAATGAGTACTCGTCGCGGATGTGCGGAAACACCGTACAACTTGTTGTACGATATATATTACGCCTATACAGTCAGCAATAAATTATTGCACCATCCCTAAGTAAGTGATAACTCAACATCCTCTTTGAAAGTTGGGCTACATTGTTGCTGTTTCAGAGACTATTGTTACACAATAAGACATTGTCACTGTGGTTGAAGAAAATGTGAAATCTGTCGCTTAACCAAGGAGACTCACTTTCATAGTAACTCGACAGGTAATGAATCAAATATTCAAAGAGCATATTTGCAGATACAAATTGGCACTCGGGAAGCAAATGCAAGCAAAAATGGAAAGGGAATAAGAGACTCACGCTAGGGCTCGGAAATTGTCCCGAATTTCTCCATGAAGCTGCTCCATTTGAGGATTCATTTTCAATTTCGAGTCCCCCATGATCTCTATCGCTGTATCGTCTTGTTTACCGCCGTTTTGTAGATCCACTGCCGGAGAAGGAACCTCACCGGCAGAGAAAACCCCGATTCGCTTCACACCTTAGCAGATCAAGAAAGTGTATCGGTTCCGCTTGCTAAGTTGTTCGCGACCTTCACACTTACACTGTTGATGAAACGTGTTTACTGGGTTTTTGAATTGGGATGAAAAACACAGAGAAAATACAGGTCTAAGGTTCGATCAAAGAAGGGAAAGACAGCCTCACATTCCGTGTGGTGCACAGGTCCGGAGCCTTCTTGAGCAGTACAGCCTGCCAATCCATCTCTTTTTTAATTTAAGAGCATGAACAATGACAAGTCATACTGAAATGCCACACGCTGGCATGACACTGTTTAACCAATCAAAGTTAATCTAGTCACACAGTGGCATGGCATTAGAGTGGTATGTCCTGTAGTGGCAAGTCATTATTTTTTACTCACTTTAGATTTTTGGCATATTTTAATCATTTTATTTTACTTTTTCTCAACTCAATATATTTTATTTTTGGTTTTTATAAATATTTATATATTGTTGTGAAGATTAAAATTGTACGGAGTATACTTTAATTATTCATAATTATTTGGTAATGTATTTGAATATGGAAAATTAAAAATAGAATATAAATTATGACGGCACACTTTAAAAATTCGATATGAAGTTATATAAATAAAAGTTGGGATAGAAATATAAAGAACATAATCATAAAAATGCATCAATATAAAAGTCTATTACAACCATTTAAAAAATACGAGAAACACATCATAATAATAATTCGAGAACTAAAACATTTGTTTACATGAATAAAATTCTTTAACAAATAAAAGTCACAATAACACAAATGTCTAAACAAAATTGAGATTACAAATGTAGAATTCAAATTAATTGTATCCCCTCTTCCTCATAACCTCTGCAATCCTATCTTCAAAGTATCAACGTCGAATGAGATCTGAGATGGTAGATGTATCTATCATCATCAGCCTATCTTCGTCCGCACGAGCACGAGCTTCATCTGCATACATACGAGCTTGCTCCGCCAAAATGCGTTTCTCTGCCTACCTTTCTCGAACCGCTGCAATGCGTTGTACTGCATCTGTAAGAGCAACCACATGAGGGGGTGTCATACTGCTCTCTCCTTGTCATACTGTTCCCTCCGTCCAGCTGAAAACTTCCCCATACTTGACTGTCCCAAAATACATTCCATCTCCTATTTTGGTTCAAGAGATAAACCTAGTTTACTATGCCTTGTCACTTTTTTTCCAACAGTGTAAGTGCCTATTTTAGACAAAGCACACTTCTATCTTCTATTATGTGTGCCCTCAAATAGCATGTGCATGTAATTTATGCTGTACATTTAAAACACAGGTTAATCTTCTTGGGGATCAAGTGGATGTACTCTTGGGCCTACTGGAAAAGATCTACATAGCACTTGACCATTTCTCACCTATCTTGCATCACTACCCTGGGTTAGATAATCCATCTTTAAGAGAAATTCAATGATATGTCACTTTTTTTAGTTCTTTTTCTTTTATAGCTTAAAACAAGATGCAAAGAAATGATTTTTTTTGCATTAAAAATTAATTTTTTTACACAGTATGTACAGTACAAAAATGACTTTGGTAATGAGAATGTTTATTCAGTTAGTATAATCAAATTACCAAGTCACTTCTCCATTACTCCTTACTTTTACCTTGGCATAGCTCATTGAAGTTCTCAAGCTAATCAGAAGGGAATTGAAAGCAAACTGTTTTTTTTACAAATATGGAGAAACTGCTTTATCCAACAGATTAGTTGATAGGAGTAAAACATTTTTTTCAATTTGAATGTTGATAGGAGTAAAAGATAGATTGGTGAGAATGATTCAAAATCTGCACACCAAAATAAAATGTTGACCAGAGCACTTAAGGTTGTCCAAGAAACACTGCATTTCTATATGATTCAGAGACAATTTGCAGCCACTGCACCAACTATACATAAACTTTGATAATTGAGCACATTGAGACATCTAACCACTCTAGAGCATTTCATACTCCAGCATCCAATCTGGTTCATCACTTTATTACCCATTTTAATTTGAAGCTAGGTTCCTAATAGCAGCAAAATCAGCATCAAACATATATCTTAGCAATATAGCCTACATGTAATATTCCCAAATGCTTCAATAAAGAATATCAAATTGTGGGTGTTTCACATTACAATCACTTTGAAAAGAAGTATTTCTACAACAATAGTATTTTTTTGTCTCAAAACTCAATAAACCTCATTTGGACATTTTGTCAAACACTTAGTGTGCACTACCATGAATTCATCTATTTGATTTTTTTGGTGAATTAAAAAGAATCCATTCAACCTAAAAGAGATCAAGCAGAGAGATGGAATCCAAAGCAATCAAAACTAGAGTTACCTGAGGGTTGCAGGTGAAGGATGATGGCCGGAGAAGACTAGCGCAGAGAAGAAGAGAAAAAACCAAGGCCGGAGAAGACTAGCGCGGAGAAGAGAGTGACCTATGATTTCCAAGAGAGTAATTGTATTTTGCTCCTTCAATTTTGCCTCGCATCCTCCACGCAAAGCGAAGTCACTAGCGGAATGCCTCACGACCCTTTTTTTTCCTCACCCGCTGCAGCGCTTCCCTCTACACGAATGGCAGGGGGTGTGGCAAGGTTTCACCTTGCCGCTGTCAGTGCTCTAAATTCTTCCCTTTAAATTTAATTCTTTTTGTTGTACTACACGTCAAAACTACTACCTTGGTTTAGAGGTTACGTTTTGTTCGTCTTATTTAATTTGATTTTTTGAAAATTTGGTCTGGTCGAGTCTAATTACATTTATAACTAAAGTTATTTTTTATATGATCTGATCTGATTATAATAAGAATAAGTAATAAGCAGAAAAAATAAGTTGAACGAAACGCTGCATAAGGAAAACATGATGAATTTAAAATTTGAACCCGCTAAGGCAAACATGATGAATCTGATTAGTCAAGTTTTTATTGTCAAATATGATGAATTTGAAATTTAATTAAATAAAAATTGTAATGTATATTAATATAAAATTAATTTTATAATAAATATCTTATTGATAACTTTTCATAATTTTATTTCATTATACTAATATACAATAGAGTTTGAGAGTAATAGAAGTTCAAAATTTGTCTAAATTGACTCGAACTAGTCAAACTAGAGAAATATATTGGGACAAAAGTATTAATTCCTAAAAAGGCATACATTCAAATTTTTATTTAAATTTTGAATGTTTCAATTTGTCGTGCTTTATTAAGTGACATGTCTAATTAATTTTAGCTCTATATATTTGAGATGTATAAAACTTCTCTACTTCTGATAAGTACTTACGTTTTATTCAATTCAAGTATTTTGAAATACTTTGAAATAACTTTAACCGGAAAGCTTGTTTTACATGATTAGTTAATGTTAGAATAAGTGTTCTTCACTAGAGGGTGATAAATAGTGAGACACGAGAATGTATATAAATTTTCGCAAGGATAAATAAAGAGTAGAATTAAAAAGCGTAAAGAAAGAAAACACCGATATACACTGGTTCACCATAACGTGTGGCTACGTCCAGTATCCCGAGAGACTCTATCGAGTTACACTACTTCCATTAAGCTTAAACGTGCTTAACAAACCATTACAACTTGAGAACTCGAGTTCTATGAGCCTCAATACACTTGCCCGAAGATTCCACACTCTAGGACTTCAACCTGAATGAATATACACTTCCTTCATACAACCAAGGAGACAAACCCCCCTTAAAGTGTTTACAACACTTAACCACTCAAGACCAAAAATTCTCTCAAAGAGTATAATATGAGTAAACTAATTAAGATCAAGAATACACTCAATTCATCAAGAATGACTCTAAAAAGCTATGTAAAAAGTTTATGGAATGGTGCAATGTAAAACTATGAAATGTGTGAGGAGTGGTTGTGAAAAGTAGACCCAAGAGACCCTTTTTTAAAAACAAAAACAAGGTGTAACGGTTGGGAGAAGATTGAGGTTGATTGACATGATTTTTAGAAATCAAATTAAAAGTGGATCTATTGAAATCTAGCCTAACATCGATGTTCATATAGTGAACATCGCTGGTTTGGCTTTGACTTTCCTTTAGAAATTTCTAACGGTTATGATAATATTGATGTTTTGAAGGCTACATCGATGTTGGGATTGTTGACTATCAAATTGGAAAGATTTTGTCTTAAAAACCCCAACGATCATTTGAAAACATCGATGTTCACCAATGAACATCGCTATTCAAAAATCTACTACCAAAAATTAGAGCGAGCCAGCCAAAACATGGATGTTCAAAATCCAACATAGATGTTTTGAATTCTACCGCCATTTCAAAATTGCATTGTTGGGTAGGCCAATATCGCTGTTTTGTCTGGACGCCAGAACCGTGATTTGATAGCCAGTGTACGCTTCGTTGAGTTTGTTATGATAAAAGTCCTGTTTTAACAGAAGTTCCAAAGGGCAGCGCCCCCTTGGCGAGGGTTCCAAGGGGGCAGCGCCCCCGAGTAAGGTTCAAGGGGCGGCAGGCCGTGCAGTGTCCAAGGGGCAGAGCCTGTGTAATTTTTTATTTTGGACAAAATTATGTGTTAAAAATTCACTTGAATTTTTAATTTTTGAAATTTGGGTATATAGAATTTCCGAAAACGCGTCTCTTAATTTTCGCGCGACTAGACGCGAACTTTAGAAAAGAGACGCGACCGCATCTCTTCTTTCTCTCTGCTTCTATAAGAATCCGGCAAAGTCTTGGTCAAAGAAACAGGTGTTCAAAAGTTCATCACTATTCATACTTGTTTTCTTATCAATAATTTGAATTTTATTCGATTGATTTTTGAATTGAATGTCTAAACAATCAATCTAAAAGTACTATCACAATTCTCAGATTAATTCATGTTAACGGTGTTATCTAGAGTTTCTCAACATAATAAGGTGTACAAAAAATTAAGAAGTATGATGTGAAATGAAGGGTGTAGATTGAACACTAACTCAAGACCTAAGTTTAAATACTATTGCGAAATGAACACGTTTTTTCAGATCATTTGATTTAGTTTAAATATGGAGTAGTATTCTTATGATGCATAATCATGATAATAATTGTAGGGATGAGTATATTTTTGTGGATAGAATCTGAGTCAATCCGCTGTTGATTGCGGGAAGCGGAACTGAAAGGCCTGGCGGCGGCGCTTTCCCTTCTCTCCCCCCGCCGTCGCAACGGCGCTCTCCTCTGCACTTGTATTTTACAGACACCTCACATTTCACTCCGACGGCGCTTTATAATTCCACTGGCGCGACATTTATGGCGGCGAAGAAGGCGTCGGAATCGGTGATCAGCAAGGGGTTGATGGAGGAGGTGCAGCGATGGGGCGCCATGAAGCAGACGGGGGTCAGCCTGAGGTACATGACGGAGTTCGGCTCGAGACCTACCGACCGGAATTTGCTGATCTCATCCCAATTCCTCCACAAAGAGCTCCCTATTCGGATTGCCCGGCGTGCTATCGACCTCCAAACCCTTCCCCACGGCCTCTCTCTCAAACCCGCCGTTCTCAAGGTTTGAAATCGCGCCGCGCCCTTTTTGGCTTTAGGTTATCTGTTTGCCATTAATGTGCAGTAATTTATATATTGCTCTGACTTTTAGGGTATGCTGTGATTGCTGTCAGTGTGGTCATATTCATATATTACCCATATGTATATGTCCCACCTTCTCTCCAGTCTCTGCTTTATCAATAAAATCTTGTCATTCTTGTTTGGGTTAAATATTCAGTTTGCTTCATCTTTCTCCAGTAATGGCTGCCTTTTGCCCTTCATAGTATTTTGTTTTATAAAATTACTCTAGTAAATACTGTAGGTTTCTTATAGCATCCTTGTCAAACGAATCTGCTCTTATATTGCCGAAGACCAATCGGGCATTCTAATGCTCCCTGAAGCCTAACTTTAGCCATTTTTGTCTTCTCTTCTTTTTTTTTCTTGTGTCTTTGGTAGGTAAGAGATTGGTATTTGGAGTCTTTTCGAGACCTTAGATCCTTCCCTGGCATAAAGGATAAAAACGATGAGTGGGAATTCACGCAAATGATCAAGATGATCAAGGTGAGGCACAACAACGTTGTTCCAATGATGGCTTTGGGTGTTCAACAACTTAAGAAAGATCTTAATCCTAAGGTTGTGTATGAGGATCTAAACGAAATTCACCAGTTCCTGGACCGCTTCTACATGTCAAGAATTGGGATCCGTATGCTTATTGGTTAGTTTAATACTTAAAACAAAAACTGAATACATGAAATGTCTTTTTCGTTCCCAAGAGTTATATGTCTTAGTAATGGATGAAGATTACTTGACTATTTCTTAATTCTTCCTCACACAGGACAACATGTGGCCTTGCATGACCCCAATCCTCCTCCTGATTGTATTGGCTATATACATACAAAAATGTCACCAGTTGAGGTTGCACGAAATGCTAGTGAAGATGCTCGTTCTATTTGCCTGAGAGAATATGGCAGTTCACCTGAAGTTAGCATTTACGGGGATCCCAATTTCACTTTCCCGTAAGACAATTCTTTGTGATGTTTTTCTTCATTTTCCTGGATACATTCATTGTCTTCACTGTCTTTGGTAACCACTCAGGTTTCTGTAGAGCTGTTCTATTCTATTAACCTATTAATCATCATCTAACAAAATGTCATTCTTGTCAGAAATAACTTTTATTGTACTTTTATAAATATGAATGACATGGGGAATGAAATCACACAACTCTTCTCTGCATCATTTACATAATTACGCTGTTGCTGGTTTTCATTTTTTTTATAACAGGTATGTCCCGACTCATCTACATTTGATGGTGTTCGAATTGGTCAAGAACTCCTTGCGTGCTGTCCAAGAGCGATATATGGAATCAGATAAAGTTGCACCACCCGTTCGTATAATCGTAGCCGACGGTTTGGAAGATGTTACCATCAAGGTAGGTTCCTTTTAAGTTTTAGTTCAAAGAATTTTTAATTAGAGTTTGATTTGGAAACTTGAGTTCCTTTTTCTATCATTTTTGTTGGAGGAGGCAAATTACCTTTATCTTTTTAACCCATTGCTGAATTGTTTTAATTTTCCTGCAGGTCTCAGATGAAGGGGGTGGAATACGAAGAAGTGGGCTTCCCAAAATTTTTACATATCTTTACAGCACTGCAAAGAACCCATTGGATGAGCAGTCAGATCTTGGCACAACTGATGTGGCAACTATGTCCACACTTGCTGGTTATGGATATGGGCTGCCAATAAGTCGCTTATATGCTCGCTACTTTGGTGGAGACTTGCAAATTATATCTATGGAAGGATACGGTATGTTTTAACAACACATTTCTTGTTGTTTTGCAAGTTGCAACTGACTTTGCACACGTATGGCAACAACTTCAATGTTTTTAGCTTTAACGTTTTCAAAATTAATCTGCACCATTAAAAAGTTATCAAAAATGTTAATGGTTATTGAAAACACTATTTCCAAACAAGGTCTTTAGCATTATTGGTTGCATTTTAAGTAATTTTGCCTTACTGAACAGCCATAAAAATACAAAATATATATTAAAAAAAATCAGCCCTCATAGACTTTAGAATTGAACATGCTTTACAGGGACAGATGCATACCTTCACTTGTCAAGGCTTGGAGATTCACAAGAGCCATTGCCTTGAGCAGTGCTCACATTTGGGATTTTATTCACTCAAAGCTCATTAATTTAAGCTTCTGTAAATATTGCCATTCAATGATGTTTCAACAATTTGCCAACAATGAAATACAATTTGCTGTAATTGTGAATTTATTCTTATTATTCTACCAATTGCCGTTGCTTGTATTCCCCTTTGCATCTTTTGATAATATTTTCGCGTTAAGGAGCTCGTTTCTTAACGTTATGTTTGGTTCAAGGAATTAGAAATAGAAAGAAAAAGATTAAGTTTTTTCACCTTTTCCTCACCAAAATCGAAGACATTTGGTTTTTCGACGTTGAGCCGGGGGTTTCTTTGGAAACAGCTTCTCTACTTTCGAGTAGGGGTAAGGTCTGCGTACACACACCCTCCCCAGACCCTACTTTTGTGGGATTTAACTGGGTTGTTGTTGTTGTTGTTTTCTTCACTAACCAAACACGAAATATGTTTTCTTTAGCATTTTCTTTTATTTTCTCTTTTAAATTCTTTGAACAAAAAATAGTGTGAGGGTTGAAGTTTGAAATGGTTTAAATTGTTGAAACATTAAATCTTTTGAAGGATGAAAACTGGGAAATGTTACTTTAACCCCGTGGATAACTCTATGTAAGAAATCATTGTCTATGAAATACTAGTGGAGTCGTGGTATTAAATTCGGTGTCACATGAGTCATGACACATGTGATGTGAAGGATATGAAGGGTTTATTTTTATACAAAATTAAATGCTTTTGAACCCTTTATTCTGAAAAAAAGATTTTACAATTGACTTGACATTGTTGTTTGTATACGCATTCTCTCTGTCCCAATTTAAATTGGTTATTTAATTTACGATGTTTGACTGAAGTTATTTTTAAATTATTTTATATGAAAAATGGTATAGAAATAATAAATAAAAGTTACATTTTTTTAAAAATATATTAAATGATCTACTCCCTACAACCTTAAAAATTATTCTTGTTTTGACATTTTTATTAAACAGCGACATTCTTTGATTATAATTTAATACTCTCTCCGTCCTAATTCTTTCTTCCCAGTTTGACTTTTCCCCATTTTTAATTTTTGGCTTTGACTTCAAATTTTACCCTCCTTAAAAAAGATTTTTTGAAATTTTTTTTTGCAATCATTCAAAATATAGAGTTAGAAGATAATCTATATCTTTCTATATACAATGGTAAGAGGGTTTTAGGAACAGTGTTCCCGCCCATTTGATAAGCTACAGTAGCCGCTAAATTTGGACCGCACATTGGATAAAAATATCTGGTGAAGCTTCCTTCATACTCATGTCGAAAGAGTATGAGAGAAGCTAAGCCGCTAGGTATTTCCGTCAGATCCGGCCACCTTCCTGCGTACACATCTCGAGAGAGAGAGGGAGCGTATAGTATGAACATAGTTTTTCGTCAGATCCGCCTGTTCTTTCTTCTCTTTTCGCAGCCGCTTCACCGTCTTCGATCATACAAGGGCTAAGCCATGCACCGTCGACGATCGCCATCCAATTCAATTCCAATCAGCACATCGCCGTAGCTGGAGAGAGAGCACGCCGGCGTAGGTAAGTAGCCTAGCCGCTGATTGAATGTTTTTTTCTTTCTAATTTTGAAGTTCCGATAATAATAGTTTTACCATTATCCAACTAATTCCAATTAGCAATTCTTTTTCTTTCAACTTCCTGATATGCAGATCTGACACCCATTACATTTGAATGCCATCATCAGAAGAAGGGGGTGAAGTTTACTAAGGATGGGGATTCCTGGTGGCTTTCAAATTTATTCATTCGGACAAAGGTTTTCAGATCCTTCTTCTCTGTTTTCACCTTTAAATTTAATATTTTTAATTTTGTTAAGTATTTGAAATTCGAATGAAGTTAATTGTGTTATATATTTCGACTGCCGAGTACTTTTAAGCTGCCGATTAAGTCCAACTTGCAAGGTAGCTGAGAGTGCCATTAAGCGCGTCCTATGCACAACATTTTCAAATTCATTTCTAGCAACCTCTGATGAAATATTTTAATTTTAATTTTGGGTGCAATCTTAGCAATGCAGTTTTGCTCTTCAATTGGTATTGCAGGAGGATTTTCAAGGCCAAGAAGATTGAGATATCAGACTGCGGATAGCCTCTGCCATTGCGGCTATTTGGGAATGTAGGCCTCTATTTTTCTATATTTTTGTCTTAACTTTTTATGATTCAATTCTTGATGTATAACTACACGGAAAAAAGATTAAAACATTAGCCTCACAACTTCAAAATTTAGGGTAAATTTTAGAGATAATATTTAAACAACGTTGGACAGAAATTAAAGTACGGGCTATGTTGGAACTTGAGCACTCTGATTTTAGTTTCTTCTTCGTCTTCTTTTTAAACTGTTTCATTTGGTGAATTCATATTCCTACTTACATCCAAATAAATGGACTACTTTAACTAAAACTCATTTAGATCAATAGGTACGTACTCAATATATCAGATCATGATGCAGATTCCTTTCTAAGGACATTGTAAAACCTTCTCACACAGTGACAAGAATTTGATATATTATACTTTTTCTTCTTCGAATTGCTGTTTTGAAGTTTGAGAAGTGCATTTTCACATGATTTATTTGTATGGTTGTACTGGGCATTGCCAATTAGGTTTCCAACTTTAGTTCATGTCATCAATTTTTAAAAAGTTTAATTTTTTTCTAATTGCAATGGTTAATAATTACTTTACCATAACTACTTTTGTAGATGAACTTATTTGTCTTTAACATCTCACACCGTCCTACGTAATGATGATGTGAATATGAACTGCCAATTGAAGGTCTCAAAGGCATTTTGTCAAAAGACAGGTATGGAATGAGTATTTATTGAGATATCATCTTGGTTATCCCTTTTGAATCTGTTCGAGTTTTTTTAGCGGGGAAGGCTAGATATATATAGAAGCTGTTTCCTCCTATTTTTGATTCTTGATTGGGAGGTTTTGGTTGATGTTGGGGTGCATCTAGCATAGAGTATGTTCTTTATTTTGTTGGACATAAATCCCTTAAATCCGAGTGTATGAGGAGATTTATTAAAATGCTGATCAAGATAACACTACGATTTAAGTGAGATAACAGACATAAGTGAGATAGCAGACATTAAATTGCAATATATTGATTTTGACATTATGAGGTGGTGTTAGGAGTTACGACATTAAACCAAAACTAAAAGGGCATTACAAGCAGAGGTACGAACGTTAAAATACATGAAAAGCATGGAGATTAAGCTTGCGAGAGGCCATTAATAAGCTATAGCGTCAAACATTCGTTAAGGTAAACGTTTAATCTAGGGTTTTGTTCTTGATGCCTTTTTGGATTCATTCGCCGTGAAATTTGATCTTTGTCGGTTCTTGATTTGGGATTCAAACGAAGTCTACTTTGTATCTGGTGTTGAATGGTTTGCTCTTTTATATCTGTAACTTGAATGGTTTGATCTTTATTCTTATATCTGTAACGTGAATGGTTTGCTTTTTTATTTCATTACAGGTACCATACATGTCGATGGGTTTGATATTGGAAATATTCAGCTGGATAGTTTGAGGAGACATATTGGTCTGGTCTCTCAAGATATTGTAAGTTATTACCTATTACGGAGTATAATTTATAGGTGTTTTTGTATTCTAATATTACTGCTTATTTGGATACACTTCTGGAAAGGGTGAAAACCACTTCCATAAGAGTAAAAATGCTTTACCATGTGGGAAAGATGTTTTCCAAATGTGCTTTTCGATAAAGCTTTTGAAAACACTTATGAAGCTGCATTGACAAACACAGTACTATTTTTAGTAAGAATGTTTTAGTTAAACTTCATTGAGGTTCCATTTGGCAGCTCTTATCAGCTTATTTTGCTAATCAGCACAGTAAGCCATTTTTTACTTATTTTGTTGAAATGAATATATAGATTAACAAATGTTTCCAGAAAATTTATCTTCTAATGCCAATGCGCATGCCCCCAGGTACAATCTGAGCCCGAACTTGCAATTGTGGACTCTCATGACGGTATGCACCAGGTGGTTTGTCCCCTCTGAATTCAGCCATTTCCATGTTTTTTAAAAAAACCGTTTTCCATGTTTTGTTATGCATCAAAAACAATTGATATGTGATATTTCCTTATTGTGACAAAAATCTATTTTATTCTGATAAGACATCAAGCATTCTGTTTCACTACTTTTTATCCTATCATCAACAGCAGCAGCATCACCTTATTCCCAATTAGACATGTCACTGAAATGAAATTAAGTGTCCAATTAGTTTATAAGAAAATGGACTTAATCACAACGTCGTATGGGTTGCTGAATGTATCAATTGGGATTTTGGGGTGAGGGGGGTGGTCATCTCTATTCTTTGTGTGTGAGTGTGTGCACTTTTTTCTGCAGCATTTATGTAAACTTTCATGGTTGTAGGATAACCTTACCTCAGAGGATATGACCCTGAGTGGATATTATGGAGCACAACAGAACGTGCAAGGACTGGTAGGTTGCTGCATATACTGATAACTAGCCCCTGATGTTTACTTTTAAATTTTGTGATTGAAGCATATGTTCGCATTTAGCAGTAGGGCTGAACAAAAAAAACTGGCTGAAACAGAAGCGGTGAAAACCAAACTGCTCAAAAGCAATTTTGACTTGTGCTGATGAGTGCTGATTTACCTGTAGAAGGTTCAGTTTGCTGTTTGGGGTTTATGCATTTTAACCAACTTAAGCCGACAGAAACCAAGGAAAACATGCAAAACCAACCAAAACCGACACAAACTTGCCAAAAATAACCAAACCAGAATCAACTTGAGAGCATTTTTATAGCCAAAGGAGGAGGAGCTTGGACAGTGAGTGTGCCATTGCAGCAGGTAGGATGAAATTATTTGTTCAATAATTCTTTTGTTACAGTGAGATTCTTTACATCAATGGAAACAAAGAATAATGCTTTGTGAGACCTCTTTTTTTATTCTCCTTTTTTAATACCCTGCTTTAGCTCAAGGGGGTTATTTATTGTCTATGCCAATTTTCCCTATAAATATTCCCATGTTTCATTTTTTGTAAAATGATTGTACTTGTGCTTTGGTGTATCAATGAAAATGATTTGTCTATATTTCATAATAAAATATATCATATTTATGTGCGTGTAATTACAATGTCTCACAATTACAGATACTCTGTAATATACAATAGGATACAATTTACATTAGATGTTGGTAGGGTCATTAACCAATATTGGGAGTGTACCCACTTAAAGTAATAAATTATCTTTTCTCAATTCTCATGTTGACTGCCCAAATATGTTTAGAAAGAAAGATTTTACTCCATAATTGTAGCATTTTAATGCCTAACCAACCTACCGCCTTTAGAGTGCAAAATTGTGTCCCAACGAAGAAGGGGTCTTCGCTCCTATTTTGCACTGGACGAAGGTGTGGGGTGCGTTGTAGAGATAGGAATCATGAAATTTTTGATGGGAAAACCTAGGTATCCGATGTCAGAATATGACATCAAAATTTAATGTCAAAAACTATAATGTAATTTTTATTTTTAAAATAATACTCCAGGTAAAGTTGGTGCCTGACTCTGCAGATTTTATGTCAGGTCATATTAAAGGAATAGATTCACTGAATCAAGATATTTAATGAGTAGATTGATTGTCGAATTATATATACTACTTATACTCCAAATATTTCATACCTCTCATTCCAATTCGGTCCATTTTCAAAAAAAAATATCTCAAAACACTTAAGAGTATGTGGAATGCGCTTGCCGAGATTAACAATTATCGAACCACTTGGATGCTTATGCTACGAGCTGTTCGTGTTTTTATTATTTGATTATATGTTATTATTGTTATTTAATTTTATCATTTTCTTTTATCAATGCTTTTCCTAATTATATTGTTTATAATTAGGCCGTGCAACGCACGGGTACGAGTCTATTATATACAATGATAGGAGCCATAAATGAACAGTATTCCCGCCCAATTTTTTGGGCCGGGTTATTGTTTAATGGGCTGGGTTTAAAATGTGGGCTGAGGCCTATTACTGCTGCTGTCCCTATTATTGGTGAACTATATGCGGAGTAAAAAGAAAAAAATTCCAGCCAGCGTATCATGTACGCTTCTTTGCCAGAGTATTCTGTAAGCTTCTCCAAAAAGGTAATCCCTTCCCTATCGAGATCTACGCCAGCTTCTATCTCATGTGCTCTATACGCTACACCTTATCTTCGATTCTAGCGACTGGTTTTGACCCTTCTTCCGCCATGGACAACACGGATTCGAACGGAGGAGACGACAACGCCGGCTAACCTTCTACCCTAGGCTGGCTGGATTCTGGCGGCACGGAGGAGCTTTGCCTGCAAATTGCATCTACAATGCATCAAATCGTGCAATAGATATATCAAAATAGCTGCTCCAATGCTCCTTCCATTAGAATTCGATCGGAAGAGGTATGCGATGAAAGAGAAGTCAAGAGCTCAACTATATGAGTTTCTGTGATGGAATATTTTAAACAAATCTTTTTTTATGCGGCATCAATTGCATAATCTTTTATATTCTGCAGCTTCAAACATTCAATTGCAAATTTTTGGGCTAGGTTAGTATTTAGATCTTAGATATTGTGCAGAAAAAATTTTGGTTGAAGCATGGGTGTACGGTATATAGACAAGCATGGGTAAGAGAATCTCTATTTCAATATCCCACTTTCTTCATCTCCATTTAACGCAATGTCAATTTAGATGCTCTTTTTTTGTCTAAGGCAATTAAATTAAAATAGTAATTTAAATTCCATTAGGGTTGTAGTATTGAATGTTTCACTGGTAACAGCTTAGACCAGTGGTCTTTATTCTCAAGAGTAGTCTTTATTGTATTATGAACTTTTTCTCAGATAGCATGTTTAATCTATCACAGAGACGATATTTATAGCAAAATTGGTTGGAAATGCTATTTGGAAGGAAGAGCTACATGAGTTGCTGGTCTAAAATTAGTTCCAGGTATTTTGTTTCTTATTTTTTGAGATCTTAAAATTGTTAAAATTTGTTTTCAAAGTATTCATGATTTAGTTTTATGTTTGGATTTGATTGAATTATTTGAAACTTTTGTAAGATAGTTTGGCTATTCTTTTGTAGGGTGACAGAGAGCTCATTCAAAAAAGAAATGATACAAAAATTAAAATACCATTTCTTTTTCATTTCATGACTAAATATAATTTGTTACCTTATGTGTTTGATGAAATTCCTCAACGAAGCTTCTAGGAGTGGGAGAAGCGTGAGTTTTTATTCTTTTTACATTAAATAAAGATGTGAATCAACATAGACGTGGTGGCTGGTGTCCTCTTCGACCAGAGTCCGCCGCAAGGTTCTTCTGGATCTAGGGTTTCATCCGATCGATGGTCTCTATGCCCTTTGAGTTAGCGACCGGTAAGTTTTTTTCTTGAATTCAAATGTTTTATTTATCCATTTTTTTCTTGAATTCAAAAGTTTTTCCCCTATTCATTTTTATTTATCTGATTTCTTATTTAAAAAATCTCATTCAGTTTTGTTTTTAATTTCACTCGGTGGTTGTTTTTTTTTTCTTCTAAAATTAGTATAAATTGTTCTATGGGTTACAGATTCTTTTTTGTTGGTGGGATAAAGAAGTGGATATGAAGGTTATACCGGGTTTGTTGTTGATTGTTCCTTCTTCCATTATGTGTTTTTTATGATATGAAATGTCTGATATTCAATATTTGTTTTTTTGGTGTTTTGATTAATATTTTGGTTCTTTTTCATTTTGGCAATTATCTGGCAATTCAGATTATTTTATCTGGTTTTAGTTAAAGACTCAACTTTAGGGGTGTATGCCACCTACCACATTGAGGATCTTGGTTTATCAGATTTAAAATTGAATACCATTTTGTTCTATTTATACTTGCAGATATTTAGAGGTAGTGAAAGTTTTTTATTTTTGTTGGACAATAGCTTCGAATTTAGTCTCTAAAGTTGTTTTTTAATTTAAATTTAAAATTAAAATTTTTAAATTAAATGTGATAATTATTTACTATAATGTCCTTTCTAATATCACAAATTGTTTTAAATGATCATTTGAAGATTGGAGAAAGGCAACATTGATGCTTGAAGAAACCCAAGGTTGAAAGATCCATTAAAAAAAGGTTAGTAGACGATTTCGTTAGAGTGCCATCAAAGTAGAGAGCCATTGACCTGCTATTCCTTGTATAACAAAATGCCTTGGAGCTTTTTTTTTGCCAATATTTTATGGTGGAGCTTTTTAGAGTGTGTCCAAACTTTTTAGCTGTATTTGAATCAATTGAATGTTGCATTTTGTTTTTAATATTCAGTTGTTGAAGGCATGCATTGTTTCATGTTTGGGATTGTTTAGTTATTAAACGTTGGAATAAAATTATCATCTTTTACAATATAAGATAGTTTCTAATGTTTTTGAGTTATGATATTTTTGGTGTTATAAGCATATAATAATTATTCATAGATAGGAGACAAAGCTACAAGAATCAAAGATAAGATGTGCGTACAAAGAATTTCCCGTCTAATAATATGTATTAATAAAAGCAAAGACAAATCTATTAAACATGTAAGACTATTTTTAATTTGGAGTGACGATAGCAAACTTGCAAATGTTGAATACAAACAAGTGTTACAAAACATTTAGGGGGGTGTATTCAATTAGAATTTTATTGGATTTTTTTAGATTTCAAAAAATTAGTGGATTTGAAAATTTTGTAGTCATGTAGAGTTTGGTTGATTTTTTATAGAATCCATGTAAAGTTTGAAAAATTTGTAGAATCCATGTAGAATTTGAAATAATCAAAAATATGTGGGTAGAATTTTTGCACTTCTCCGTTCGGCCACTGACCCACCCATTTAATCCAAATTTTATCGAGAGTATAAATTCAATCTGCATGACCCGCCCATTTAATCCAAATTTTGTGCTTCAATTCTAAGCTCTAAATCATCATCAAAAAGGATAACTGTGGGACGGAGTTTCCAGATCTGGTTGGAAAGAATGGTAGTTTCATAATTGTTCGGCCACTAACACCTCAAGGAAATTTACGCATTGAATACATGTATAATAGTTCACAAAATCAGACCTAAGAATAAAAATCCGTAGAAAGAGTGTAGTCATAGAAATCCGCCGCCATGTTCTTCACCCCTGCTGTCAACACGACTGATTTAAATAAAAAAGGCCCATATTATGAGAGCACTACTGTGTAGCCATAGAAATCAGTCGCCAGTGAGGACAGGGCCAGGGAGCACGACTGAGAAGAGATTTTTAGGAGAGCATTTTTTGAGTGAAAATCCAACAAAATCCATAGAGTATTAAAACTCATAGATTTTTGAATACCTCAAAATTTTTAAAGATTCTTGAAAATCCGAGTTGAATATTTCAATATTTTTGAAGACTTTGAAAAATCTCTATTGAAATACCTTAAGATTTTTAAAGATTTTTGAAAATCTAGATTTAACGCATTCAGATTTTTAAAATCTAAAAAAATCCAACAGACTCCAAATTCAATGCACCCCCCCTTAAGCTTTGTTTATTTTTTTCATTCCATTCAAGTTATTCTTATATTTAATTATATTATAGCAAAAAAAATTCCCAATTAGAATCTATAAGGTGTCTGAAATATATAAAATATTTATTTTATAAATTTTCATAATTATTAATTTTTAAATAAATCATTGGTCGTGCATCTACGGTCCTTGCTGTACAATACTTTATTTTGGGCAATTTTAATAAAATTTGTTATCTTTTGATTTTTGTATCATTTTATGTTATTCCAAACCAAGATTAAATATAAATAATTTTATAGCCCGTGCATCGCACGGGTACGAGTCTAGTTGGTGTAAATACATGAGAGTGTTAATGTCATTTGTCATCTTTTTTTTCTAATGGGAAGGTAGTTTTAGGACGGAGAAAAAGGGGAAGTGGGAAGAAAGTTTTAGGACAGAGGGAGTACTTTAATTAAAAGTAGTAGAATACTTGACCTAAAAATGGGCGGGAAAATTGGATGAAAATGTTGTGAATTTATCAAATGTTCTCCATTATATTATTTGTTCCAAAGAGAATTTCTTGTTCATTATTTATTGAATCAAACTTGGACATATTTCTTTATCTATTTCTATCTCTAATTTGATAAGTTAACAAAGTAGGACACAATTACATACCATGTACGTAGCAGAATATAAAGTACCACCTCCGTCCAAGTGTTTTTGTCCAGTTTGATTTTTTCGAGTCAAACTGGATAAACTTTGACTTTTAATTTTTGTCAATTTGTATTGTATATTAGTATAATAAAATAAAAATAGTAAAATTTGTACTAAATAGCACTAAAATATATGTACTTTCTAAATGTAGCACTTAAATTTTTTAATTCCTAAATAGTACTTGAATAATGTCTAGTGGCAGGAATAATGTCTAGTGGCACTTAAATTTTTTAATTCCTAATTTTTGAATGGACCTAAAGTTCATCATGGATGTTAATATATGCTAAATAGGTATTTTTAAGTGTTGAAATAATTAATTTTAAAATAATAAAAAAATATGTGTGAAGGTCCATGTACACTGTAAGTGCACCATAACTCAAATATAAAATAAGGCATGTGTTTAAAAAATTTTTGACACATTATTGGGTGATTTTAGCAACTTGAAGCCATAGAGTCTTACGCAAAAAGGGAAAAGCCTCTCAATGGCACATGATACTCTCATTCATGTTACCTTTCAACCCAGAGTTCTATCTCACTTACTTAATATTATGCACGTTTTCTTCACCTGATCTGAATGGTTCTAATCTTATTTGAATAAGTTTTGATCTGATCTGATATAATCTAATATGAATAAAGTTATATATAAAACTATTTGATCTAATTCAAATAAGAAACAATAATAAGTAATAAAAATAAGTTGAAGAGAATATGACCTTAGATTTGTTTTTCAGGCATACAACCGATGTATATGAAGAAATTTTTTGCTTGTTAGATGGGTTTGCCTTGCTTTTATACTAAAAATCTACTTCTTTGGTCTCATAAAACTTTTCAAAGATGAAAAATACGTCTATCCTACATATCATATCTTACTTTATTATAAACTAAGAAAAAAATAAAAAAATAATATCAAAATTAAACATACTTAAGACGTACTCCCTCTGTCCACCATAGATCTTCCCAGACACTATTCACAAGGTCAAATTTTACTCACTTTGTTTGTTCAATTTTACTAGTCATTTCATAAAATAATATAGTCTTGTCACCTCTAGTTTTGTAGAACTTTTCATGTAGTTTATTTCTATATAAATTTTATTTTAAAATTTTACTCCTATAATCAATTAAATTGAATTGAAAATAAAGTCAGTCAAGCCCCGTAACGCGTAATAGGAAGATCATACATGGACGGAGGGAGTATTTTTTTCGTTTTTAAAAAGTTTTATGGAACAAAAAAATAAAATGTATGCGTCCAATCGTGCATGTGTGGATGTGTGGAGTACATGGAGTACAAGTACCTTGCATGTGTAAAGTTTTCTTCTTTTGAAATTGAACTTTACATGGAGTACATGTACCTTGACTCCATGTACTTTAAAAAAGTAAAATTTGCACTAAATAGAACTAAAACATATTGACTTTCTCAATGTAGGACTTAAACTTTTTTATTCCTTAAATATGACTTAATAATGATCTCGTTGGAGGAATAATGTCCAGTAATGATGGACATTTACTTGAATAATGACTACTTGATAATGATCAAAAGTCCTACATTGGGAAATAAAAACATATGGTCCTATATTGGGAAAGTCATTATGTTTTAGTCCTATTTAGGTAAATTTCTCTTTAAAAAATTGAAGAATAATTACAAAGTTGAATAAATTTTGTTTAATTTCGTGTGTCGTAAGGGTAAAAGTGCTAGTTTGAGTATATATTCGAGATAAATATAGAAGTATTATTCTCTCCAATGCACAAAACCTTTTCGCTTACATTGTTTATTTGTACCAAAAAAATATTTCAATTTGGGTTAAATGGACAAAATTTCTCCTAATACAATTTTTTTTCAAATCTAACCTAACCCAACTCTTCCTATGCCCTTCAGCCCTTCCCATCCCGACACTTCTCAAACCTAATTGTCCACTTTGTCAAACTTCTAGGACTTCCTCTCCCAAAAGTCAAAACCAAAAAATTTTGTGTGACGAAAGAATTTTACAAGAGGTTTAAAAAAGGGAAATTTACGTAAATAGCAATAAAACATAATGACTTTCTTTAAATAGCATCACATATGTTTTTTCATTATCTATTAATCATTATTCAGGTAAAATATTGGTTATCACTGGACATTAAGGACATTATGAAGTGCTATTTAGGGAATAAATAATTTAAATGCTATTTAAAGAAATGATTTAAGTTTTAGTGCTATTTAGTGCAAATATTTCTCTAAAAAATCAATGCAAATATTAATTTTTACAATTTTATAAAATTTTGCCAACCATTAGTAGACTGTAACTATATCCTTCTCTAATCCACAACAAAGTTGATATCATCAATGGTTCAATCACTATCAACCACTACTCTATATTTAATTAGTAGCCTCTCCATTTTTTACTTCCTACCTTAATGGAGATCCATGCACATCCTCCCTACACCACCCTATAAGAAGACCAAGTCAACAACCTCATACCCAATAATTATTATTTTTACATTCATTTTATTTTTTTAAAGGTATATATTCCTTAGAGATAGTAATAATAATAATAGGTTTTTCAAAACAAAAAAAAAGTAATAATAATATAAAGGTTAAAAAATAGTAAAAATAATAAAAACAAAAACATGCACGGTGGCATACTCATGAGAGCTTCTCTCCTCCTCCTCCTCATTGTGGTGGCGCCGACGGTGGGCGTCGTCGGTAGAGCCGCGGAAAATTATCACGACGACGGCGAAAGACTCTCCACGAGCTCAAAGCTTTTGAGCGGCCTTACTGAGGCCGCCGTGAATAATCCAGCAATGAACTTGCTGGATCCTCTCGGGATAGCCAAGACGAACCGAGAGATCGTTAGGAGCGCGCTCCGGTTCTCGCGCCCAAAGGACTACATCGAGGGCGCCATCCGCATTTCTCTGCAACAGTTTAAGGGCGTGATCAACGGCGTGGTGGATTTGGCGGAGAAAACGGACGACTCTCTCAACCGAATGGCGGTGGAGGATTGCCGCGAGTTGATGAACTACGCCATTGACGAGTTGCAGGACTCGATGACCTCGGTGGATGATTGCCCACTCATGTCTCTCGGCCAACGGTTATCGGACTTGATGAACTGGCTGAGCGCCGTCCTGTCGTATTCCAACACGTGCATCGATGGGTTCACGAAGCCCGGTCTTCAGTCTGCCATCAGCGGCATACTCAAGACCTGCATCGCCCAGACCGGTCAAGCGCTTTCGGTCGTCTCTCTCATTCCTCAGATTCTCACCGGCTTGAACAACAACCACAACCCATCACTCCCCGGTGGCCAGACCGTGTATCCGGCTCCCAGCGCCAACGATGCTTCTAATGGCGCGGGGACCACAACAACCGCGTCATCAGAAGGTGGTGGGGCCTCTGGAGCCACGACATCACAAAATGGTGGCGCGACCACTACAGCCGCGTCATCAAAAAATGGCGGCGCTTCTAGTGACGCGGCCAACGCAGCCGCGTCATCAGAAGGTGGTGGGGCCTCTGGTGGCGCGTCATCAGAAAATGGTGGCGCGACCACTACAACCGCGTCATCGAAAAATGGTGGCGCTTCTAGTGAAGCGGCCAACGGAGCCGCGCCATCAGAAAATGTTGACTCTTCGTCGTTTTCCTCCTCGAGTGAAGAGGCGAGCGCGGCTAACAATGCAAATTCTTTCTCATCCTCCTCCTCCTCCACTGGGGTCGACCCGACCTCGGTGGGGAGCGGGAGAACGCTCAAGGGGGTCCACTTCCCGGCGTGGATGAAGAAATCAGACAGGAAATTATTGGTGTCCAGGCAAAGAGGAGGGGGGGAAAGAGCGCGCGTCGGCAGCGCGAACGTGCAGCCGAACGCGGTGGTGGCACAAGACGGAAGCGGACAATACAAAACCATAACGGAAGCTATCAACGCTTATAATCCACCGGCGAACGCGGCAGGGAACGGGACGAGACACGTGATCTACGTGAAAGCCGGAGTTTACGATGAGTACGTTTTGATTACGAGGAAACAAACCAATATATTCATGTACGGCGACGGCCCGACGAAGACCATTGTCACCGGAAAGAAATGCAACCGTGACGGCGTTTCCACCTTCCGAACCGCCCCTTTCGGTAAGTTCATTTTTCTTTCTTTAATTTAACAAACCAATATATTCATGTAGATACTTTGTTGATATTATAAAAAATACTTCATATAATATTTTAAAATCACATTTCAAAGTTAATGAAATGATATTTAAATAATATTGTGACACGATACAAATTTTCTAATTTTGTGATCAAAGTTAAAAAATTTTGACCAAAAAAAACCATACTATAATATTGGGTGAATGAATGCAGCGGTGGTGGGGAATGGATTCATATGCAAATCAATGGGGTTTCGGAACACGGCGGGGCCGGAGGGGCACCAGGCGGTGGCGCTGAGGGTGCAATCCGACATGTCGGCGTTCTACAACTGCAGAATGGACGGGTACCAGGACACCCTCTACACCCAGACCCACCGCCAGTTCTACAGCAACTGCGTCATCACCGGCACCGTCGACTTCATCTTCGGGGACGCGGCGGCGGTCATCCAGAACTCCGTCATCGTGGTGCGGCGGCCCATGGACAACCAGCAGAACAGCGTGACGGCCCACGGGCGGACCCACAACGCGGAGCCCACCGGGCTGGTCATCCAGAACTGCCAGATCATCGCCGAGGACGCCCTCGAGGCGAACAAGACGGAGATCCCGTCCTACTTGGGCCGCCCGTGGAAGCCGTACTCGAGGACCGTGATCCTTCATTCGACCATGGGTGATTTCATCCGGCCCGAGGGGTGGATGCCGTGGGCCGGGGACTTCGGGCTGGACACTTGTGATTATAGGGAGTTCGGGAACCGGGGCCCGGGTGCGGACACGACCCGGAGGGTGACGTGGAAGGGGTACCATGCATTGACCAATGCTAATGACGCCATGAGGTTCACGGTGGAACGGTTCATTCAGGGGAACCACTGGCTTCCGGCAACCGGAGCACCGTACTTCCTCGGCCTGAAATCCATCCAATGATTCGGATTTCCCGACGAACATCCGAGACAACGATGAGTTGCCCGATGTCATGTCTCTAGTAGTATCCGAAAGTGTTCTCTTTTTTTTTCTTTTCTTTTCTCATGTTTTATCTTAGCAAACAGCAAAAATGTACAATTGTATGTGCAGTTTTGTAAAAACATCTTTTAGTTAGAAAATGCAGCTCTGAAGAATTATTTTGCTGCTCTTAGGCCTCTTTACTTCTGCAAAAAATATTACCATATTATTTTGTTATTTTACTTGTATTGAGTTTACTTGTGTCAAATCAATGTCATTTAAGCCCTATAATTATAAATTCTCCTAAACAGACAAAAGAGATTTTAACCACTCCAAGTTCTCAGTGATCAGTTAAAGCTACATTTAAAAGCAAAAAAACACCATTCTAAGTTCTAATAGTATGGTGGAAAAAAAAAAAGAAAAGCAGAAAAAGGGATTTGCTTCTCACCTCTCATGGATTTTATGAGCTGTTTATAAACTGAGCCATCTCTATACTTTCAAGCAGTCGACTTCAACCCCGCCAAACAGAAAGGAGAAAATCAAACAATAAGCAAATGCAGCATCCAGCTCGCTAATCAGCAGCCATGAATGGGTCCGTTTCACCAAGTTCAGCAACCAAAGGTTCCAAATCTTCAGAGTTTTCATCATCGGGAGCAAAATAGGTAGGAAAGGGGAGGATGGATCTATCAGGTTTCTTGAAATTTGCATCTTTTATAAAAACGAAGTTCCCTTCAGCACCCGGAACCTGAAAAGCATGAACAACAAATATTAAGGCCATGCTGACAAGAACTGTGGATTCGCTATGGTACATACACAATTTTTTTTATCAACAAATTTTCATCTGTTTTCTTTGGACCTAGATAATGAAGGCCATGTTCAAATCAGTTTTGCGGAAATAATTAACTGAACCGATTATTTCCCATGAGGCAAGAAACCACTTTAGTTTTGAAACCCTCTACTGAGAAATAAGTTCAATCACATTTGTACAAGTATGCAGTAGATATCACCAACATTCAGATAAAGGACAGCATTAAAAAGTAACTCTGTATAATCATATGGCTATGGCTTTTGGGATATGGGTTCAAATCTGGCATTGGTCTTTAGTGTTTTTTTTTGTTTAGGTTTCAGCCTAAACTGTTCGTTTTAGCTTTTGGTTATAGGATTGGCTACTGCAGCCCTTGGCAAGGATTTTCGGTGTTTCTACTTAGGTTTTTAGTTTTAGGGTGTAGACTCTTTCATTTTTCCTGAGGGGCCTTGGCTTGGTCCTCCCCTCTTGTAGTTTGCTTTATCTTGTTTTTTCAATAAAAATGTTTTTTCTTTTTAAAAAAAGTTACTCTGTATAACTAGTTTATGAACACTTTAGAAAAGGGTTGGAGATGTAGAAACACGTACTTGACCTCTAACCCACATCAAGTTTCTTGCAGGATCAATTTTGTAAACCCAAACATTTTTAACCGTCCTTTGCGCTCCACCCATCCGACCAGGCATCTTTCTTCCTTTAAACACCTGTCCGAAAAGACACAGGAAAATAAGCAAATTGCATAAACAAGTGTCTGAACAGATATAAAAACTGAAGAGCATGAATATTCAAATAGCACAACAAAATGTGATGCTATAATGCAAAAGCCCATTAGATAAGGTTTCTTGTCCTATATGACCATAAACAATTTGATTCTAGAGTATCTCATGATTTACATCCTTTTGGCCTTGCAGTATGAACAAAAATATTCTGTGTAGAGCGATCTTGCATGATCCATAAACACAATGAAATGCCACCTCCATCCAAATAGTATATAGATCTGACTCAGCACTCATTAGAAAAACAAAATTTTGTTGTTGAGATTCATTCAAAATGAAGATAAAATATCAACCCTGCAATTTTATCCTTAAAAGGAAAGAAGAACCTTATTTGCGGACTGAAGAAAAAGGAAAAAAGAACCTTTTTTGGTACATAGAGAGTATATTTAAATCCAACTTTCACTTATATGCCTTGAAATAAGGTTCCGCAGTTATTAATAAAGGTGAAAGTGTGTGGTTGAGTTTTGGGACCCAAAAAATGGAAATATGAAACCATTTTTATGGAGCAATGAGAGTATTTGTAAGAACCTTTATCAACTAGAATAGAAATTACCCATCAAGGTCTGCTCACAAGTCACAACCTTAATTGTGCTAGTGCAGTAAAGACATAATATGGGTAGGCTGCTTGACCACTTCTATGCAGTTGCACCCTCTGTCCCCAAAAAATTACATTTTCCATTTTAGGCTACCCCGAATCTTTATTTCTGTTTATTCGAGAAAATATTTGCATAATTGATATTGTTTTCTTTTTTAAAGAAACCACAAATACACAATTGCATTTTCTTAATAAGCATGTGAAGTCAAAATTTAAATAAAAAAAGCTACATTGAATTTAGTAACAATTAAGCAAAACAACAAATTGTGGTAAGACAAAAAATATTAAGAGTTAGTACATTTTTTAGTGCTATTGACTCGATTACAATCTGTCTCAACCTAATGACGCACAATGAGCCAATGTCTCCGGCTCCCCGGGTCGAACCATGGTGAACTTTACCATGAATCTTGGAAAGTGGACTTCCTACCACTCAGGTCAAGGGAGAAGTTCCTAGTGTTAGTACATTAATACTCCGTATTATTTAAAAATTTAACAACTATGTTACAATTTGGAACTAACACAAACAAAAAGCAACAAAAAAATCCAAAAGAAGCCAGCTTGAGGTACTGGCTCTAGTGAGCATTTGGCATTTGCAGTGAACTTGGGTGAATGCATAGGCAGATCCATGTTATGTATAATTGAGTTGGGAGGTTTTTCTGATATGTGTACTTAGCTCCCAGCAAAAATATATTTGTGCCCTCAATTGATTTGGGAATTTCTATTGCGCCTCAATCTAATCTTCCATATTAAACCCCAGCTCGCTTCCCTACTCTCCTCTTATACGCCATTTGTTGTTATCTACGAGAGAGTGAAACAATTAAACAAAACCACTTCTCAAGTCTTAACTCCTGCACAATAGATGGGACAAACGAACAAGCAAGCAAGTTGTTGAAATGAGCAGGCCACTGGCAAAATCCACATCGGGAAGTTGTTGAAATGAGCAGGCCATTTAGGTGACTATACTTTTGCTCCTCGAGCGTGGTTGGGGTGACCATATGTAGCCTCATTTCCAACGTGGATTTCACCAGCAGCCTGCTCGTTTCCAGCAACTCGCTTGTTCATCCCAGCTAGTGTAAATAAAACCACTTCTCAAGTCTTCACTCCTGCATAGTGCACATTAGCTGGGACGAACAAGCAAGTTGCTGGAAACGAGCAGGCTGCTGGCGAAATCCATGTTGGAAATGAGGCTACATGTGGTCACCCCAACCACGCTCGAGGAGCAAAACTGCAAAACACGTGGTAAAATGTGCCCTCAGTAAAATTTTGATCTGAAGCCCTCTGTGTGTGGGTGTGCAGTGAGATGGGAGATCACCACTTGAGGGAAATATGGAAATACCATTTGATAATGTCTTGCATCTTGCAGTAGGTGTTGGTTTTTATGGGGTGGCTAGAGTGCAAATGCGCGAGCCGCGAGTAAACTATCCCAGCAACAACAAACCGAGTTAGAGGTGGGTGTATGCAAACAAAAATACCTCGCTCCTACTTAGGAAAGGTGGTTCTTTCCAAAAGACCCATCCACAAACACAATAGACAAATGTTAGTACAGTATAACAGATAAAAGGAAATGAAAAGGATAAACGGTAAACCAAACAAACATCTAACTATGCCTGAAGACCCTACACACATAGAGAACCATCCCTGTCTTGACCTACCCTACAATTGTAACCTCGGCTGCCAAGTGCTCATATATGGAGGGTTATATTCTAAGTCAGCTCTCGCAGCCGCAACACCCCTCTAATCACTCTCGAAGCTGTAAGCTATCCCAAAAAGGGTCCATAAAGAAAATGAGATAACTATGTTGGGGATAACGTCATTCAAGTAGTAAATTTGAGTCCAAAGATGTGATCTTTTAAATTTAAATACTATCCAGAAAACATGAAAGATGCTTCATGTTTATTAAAAACAGAGAAACAGATGCTAATTGCTAAAACAAAAGGAACAATGTAAAAGGATGTGACCAACCTTTCCAGGGGCATCTCTCTGACCAGTAGACCCAATACTCCGATGCGATAATGATGCACCATGACTTGCAGGCATACCCTTCATACCATGTCTTTTCATTCCACCCTAAAAATTGAGAACACGAAAGAAAATACATTTTTATAATTCTGAACAATTTAATAACTGGTCTTGAATAAATAAGTGAGGCATAGGAAGAATATTTTTTAAGATAACTAGGCAAACAAACTACACTACACAATATTTTTTTAAGGGTATAAGTAATATAAACTAAAAGATGGAGATATCCCATTTGGTTATCATTTTAGAAATATTAGTTCTGTTTTACAAAAGATGGAGAATTGGATGGAGATGTTAAACACCAACTCACCGAGTAAATGCAAGTTGGTTGAAGAAAAGAAGTACCTTTGAAATAAGGGGATAATTATACAAAACGACAATTCCCAACACTGTTTCATGCTTGTATGGTGCAAAATGTTTGGTTTCTAAAGAGTGTCACATTATGAAAATTAAGATAACTAAAATGTGTTTATTATGGTGGATGTGAGAGCACAAGTGAAATCATCCAAAAGAAGGTAGAAGTGTCATCTATTGAATATATATTTAGAGAGAATTGATTGAAACGATTAGGACATATAAAACAAGATGACCTAGTTACTGTGGCTGATTGCAAGTTACTTGTGATAAGGCTCAGTTCTTCTTGTAGTTCTAAAGCAAACAGTTATACTCTTAATTATAATGCACGAAACAGAATCAGGGACGGCCACATGCCACAAGAATGAGGTAAATTTAGCTTCAAGATGGAGGACAACAGCTTTAATAAAGATCAAGTACAAAATCTGGATAAAAATAATCATTTACCGCAAACCCTTTGCCTCTCGTAATGCCAGTGACATCAACAAACTGACCGGGAACAAAATGGCGAACTCCAATGGAAGTGCCAACAGGAAGAAGTGCATCCTCAGAGACAGGGAACTCTTTTAATTTTCTTTTCATGGGCACACCTTGAGCTCTAAAGTGACCTACTTCAGGCTTGGTCAAGTGCTTCTCCTTTTTATGGCTGCATCCAATCTAGTAAGACAATCAATTAACAAAAATAAAGTAAAACAGCAAAACAGCCAATCCAACTCAACTGACCCTGTCTCTAGAGGAGTATCAAATGGGTCTAACTACTTTAAACTCACTAATGGATAATTAGCATTTTGGAAAAGCTGTCAGTGGTATCCTTTAGATTTAGTGTTTGTTTTGAAGATAACCCGCACCTTTAAAAAACAATTCAAAGTTTAACCTTCACCATTATGAAATTATCCAAAAAAATCTAAGGCTAATGACAAAGGCAGTTGGGCCTGATAGAGCGAACCTGAAGGGCAGAGAATCCTTCCTTCTCGGGCGTTTTAACCTGGGAAACAATGTTATCCTCCAGCCAGAGAACAGTGATGGGAACCCGAGCGCCCCACTTGTCCCATAGGGCGGTCATTCCACATTTGACGGCGATAGCGCCGGTGCGCTTCGATTGGCTGGTCATGACTCGGGGCTTCGCCTCAATTATCCGATTGGATACCTCCTCGGCCTCGACAGCATCGGTGCTCAAAGCCCTCCATGGCTGCTGCGCCGGGGAAGCTGGAGTGACTGCGGCCGTCCTTTGAACGATCGAGAAAAGCCGGAGACGAGAAATGAGACCTCTCGAAGCCGCCGACATAATAGCGATAGTTGGTCGATTCAGTGATTCTTTCTTCCGATTCCGACTGGATTGAAGTATTACAGATGCATTGATTTCGTGGTGCAATCAAATCCTGTAACACTGTGGGGAAAGTCGGGATGCCGGAGGCGGGAGTGACGAAACCGACGGCGAGGGGATATGGCGTAGGGTTTTAGACGTTACAGTGGAGGAGGAAGTAAGTTCCAAGGACCTCCAAGGACCCCTCCAATGCGGTAGTCGCATACTGGCTGCAAAACCCCCAATTTTTGATCCAATTTCGAATTTAGGGTTTTTTCGAGTAGAAAAATTCAGATTCGAGAAGTTACAGGTCAAATTAGACAAAATGGTTTGGATATTATTGATCCTCGTCTCAAGACGAAGAGAATGACATTGGTCCCGCCGGAATCGGAAAAAGTTCATTTTCCGACGACTTTGACCGGCGGGCGGCGGCGGCGGGGCGTGGAAGAAAAGAAAAGAAGAAATGGGGTCAAATTGAAAATTTTAAAATATATAAAATTCGAATTTGGCCCTAATGACCGGAAGTTAACCTAGAAACGGGCTAATGGCTCATTAGTGAAAGGATTGTGTAAGTTCAGGGATTTTTGTGAAAGGATTTGAAGTTCAAGTACCACTTCGAAATTCCAGCTAAAGTTCAGGTACCATTTGTGAAATTTACCCCATTATTAGCTACACGAAAACTTGTGAAAACAATAACACGGTATCGAACAATCATGAATGAAAGACTAAATGCACGCAAAAAAATAACGTAAACTAAAAACACATGAAACTCTTGTACATGAACCCTGAAATGTTTGAATATTGATTGTTATCATTCTAATTGGATAAACAACTCGTGAATTAAAAATGTACCAAGACGTATACGGGAACACAATAAAGACAAGGCTATATACTCCGTAAGTGACTAAAGAGTAGCCGAACAATCAGAAACGATCCACACCATAAGAAATAAATGAGCATGAAAATAAATGATCAATTGCCATTCTCTATTCTTACATAATCTTACATTTTCACAAAAATCAAACAAAAGAGCATTAAAAGAGCAATTGCCAACAAGTGGTAGTAACAATTGCCAAAAAAAAAAAAGAACCTGTAAAAAAACAAAAACAAAAAAGTGGGATAGTTTATTTTCTGGCTTGATGCATTCCATTTGCCCATATTATACCCTTTTATTTTTTTTATTAAACAATAGTTAAAATTAAATAAATAAAGCCAACAGGAAAAAATAAGCAAAAACCATTGATATAGCTCTCACTGCAGTGACTTGCTTCCTGTCTTCTTCAGTCTCTTCACTGAGCTCTTAGAACTGGGCTGTAAGGAGCTCTTCACTACGGCAGACGCTCAAATCATTACATAACTTTTTACACAACTGCAACACATAAATATTTTGTCTCTTTTCAGTTTCAAGTGAAATATAATACAAGAAACCCATAAATTATAAGAATCCAATGAATAAATGGTTAAAGCATAGTTTAATGCCTGTCTATAAACAAGGGAGTCCCCATGCGATTTCAGCAGCTCTACGACGTACCAGGAAGGGCTGATTTCAAACACCTGTGTTTTGTGCAAATGAAACCATATATGTTATTATTATATATATGGTCATGATTTTGTTTTAAATGGTAAAACCATGATTCAATGAATGTTGTCCACTTACTTCTGCAGCTACTAAGAGACTTTGAGGGCTCTTTTCAGCTGTGTTTCTCTGGATCACTTTCAGCTAAAGAAATGCCAACACCAACCAGACACCATAAGCGCCATACCGATTAGCAATTGGGAGCTATGTACTTTCTAGCAATTACTCTGCTTCTACCTTTTATGTTTTGGACTCAATCTGTTTCTTTTAGAGGGACCATGTTGGAATTTTGAGGAGAAAATGATGGGTTTTTTTTACTTAAGTGTGTGATGACCAGTTGATGTGGGCTTCTAACACCCTTTTTTTTTTAAAGTATTATCGCCACTACGAAAAAAACTTTGTGCTAGTGTGTTTTCTTTGTCTTTGCCTCTACGTTTGTGTTAGAGCCGAGGTCCTCTCTACTTCTAACTCGAAGTAAGGTATGCGTATATACATCCTCTTCAAATCCTATTCTTGTTAAATTTTACTGGGTTTGTTGTTGTTGTTGTTGTATAAATCTTGGAGGGAAGAGGGTGTACCTTTCCATGCTTTCTTTGGGTTTGAAATCCCATATTCGTTACTGTATTTTCAATCCTCTCGAACAGCTCTCTCGGAGCGAGGTTGGATGTAAACCTGATCTTCCTTTCCGAGACGTCCTGCAACAAATCAACCAAAGTTTCCATGATTTATGGATTAGTAAGACCCCGTTTTGCAACGACTATTTGGCTGGCCAAAAAATCTTTTGCAAATCAAAAGGCAAAAGCTACTTATTTAGCTTATGAAAAGAAAATCTCCAAATGGTATTCTAAGTTTCCATGTCCTACATAGAAAAAAGGGGCTTTTTTTGTCACACTAGGATACCACTAACCTCTTTCTCAAAGAAGCCTGAAAGATCCAAACAGGAAGACATTCCAATCAGCTGAAAAGCATTGATAAGTGTTGGAGGTGATTCGGGATCTCTCTCTCCATCCAGTGGAGCTTCATTTACTGCTAAGATTTCACTATCAATGGCTGCATTGTCTTCTTCTTCTTCTTCTTCGGGATTTGCAGGACAATACCCCAGTTTAAACCACTCGTGTTCTTTGATCTCAGCAATGGTTATACGCGTACTTGGGTTGGGATCCAGCATCCTCTTGATGAGGTGGCGTGCCCCCGAAGATAGTGATTTTGGGATATGAGCATCACCCTTGAATATCTGATTGATTCTCTCAAGAAGTTACCCAATGCCCCAAAAAGTGTATTGATATTAAATGGGCTTAACAAAAAAAGAAAAAAATTACAGCAGTGACAACCTTCTGATAAAGCACTGCTAGATTTCTATCATCAAAGGGTAAATATCCTGTGAGAATAACGTACAAGATGACACCGACCGACCAGGTATCTGACGTGGCGCCATCGTACCCTCTGTTTGAAAGAATTTCAGGCGCAACATAGTTGGGACTTCCACACGTCGTGTGCAGCAACCCGTCGTCCTATACTTGTCATTCATCAATAGCAGAAGAAGGTTTTAAATTTTAACAATCCCAAAAGCATATGATACCATTTGATAATAATTAGTCTTATTGAATAATAAAGGTACCATCGCTACATATAGGAAATACAAAGAGAATCATATATAAGAGTCTGGACTTAGTAGAGCAAAAAAACACATACCCTAAAATGTTGAGGTAATGCACTGAGGCCAAAATCTGTGATCTTAATTCTCCCATTCCCATCAGCCAGCACATTTTCTAGCTGCATGTTTAAATGCATATATTATGAGCATAATATATGAAGGAAATTCAAGTATCATAACAATGAATTACACAAAAATTAGTTACTAATATACTCCATCTGCCATGCAATGGAATTCCCAATTTGACCTCAAGTAGTTTTAGGCAAGATAATTTTTACTGACTTTCCCATATTGCCCCTACATTCAAGTGAAGAAGTATACCTTAAGATCTCTGTGGAAAACTCCTTTGCTGTGGCAGTAGCCAACACCATCAATCAACTGCTGGAAGACCTTCCTGCCTTCTTCCTCAGAGAGTTTGCCTTTGGATACCTAATAAGGCCAGAGCAGAAGAGAGAGTGTATAAGTATAAAGTTTAGGCTGAGAATAAGAGAAGACTTAGCCTAATAAAGACTCACTACACTTCATCAAACTCAGTTTCAAGATCAAGAAACTTACTATCCGGTCAAACAACTCTCCCCCGCTCACGTATTCTAGCACCATGAATATCTTTGTTTTGCTCGCCAAGACCTGTTCATTTCGTTGCGAGTGACAACGAGCATCTCAATGTGAGAAAAGAGCGAATGTATGGTGAGCCAAGCATGCCAGCCTAAAGACTTCATTTTTCTATATATGAGCAAATAAATGTGGGTTTTCAATGTTGATCACACACTTTCTTGGAGTGAAAGCTCTTAACAGCAGGGAAAAGACTGGAATACATTAAAGAGAAACACAAGTTATTTATTTTTTCCAGTTTTGACAAACTGTATAGACAAAACTCGCTGGTCAGACAATATTTGTTTGCGTCAACGCACATAAATTTGTCTGTGGAATGTTAGAACGGCTAGGTTCCCTTAACATTTAAAATTTTGAGATGTGAGGTTCATAGAATTGATAGTTCTTTAACATACTACAAAACTCATCTGTTCATTTTTCACCGTCAATTGGCAACTGTAGCCAATCATTCTCCATCCCATAATATTCATTCTCAATGTAATTAAGAACGATCAATTTTACGATTTGCCATCCCATAATATTCATTCTCAATATAAAAAGAACGGTGGTAATTTTTAAAATGGAATAATATAAGGGAGAACTCTTTGTATAAGACTAAAAAATTATGAAAACACTAAAATAAGAACCCTAAATCTTAAAATCAAAGTAGGAGTTCACACTGTCATTGTTACACTCTCACAATCACGACATTATGACACTGCAATAGTTGCATTATCTCCCATCAACTGTCACACCCCCTTTTGTCACTACAGGCCACTAGATTGCCGCCCCCAATTGCAGGCAATTGACCGATCACACTGTCATCTCTTTTTTCATCGCACTGCCAATACGTAATCTCACTGCCACTATACTCATATTTTTGTCGTAAAAGAGTTAGGACTTTTTTGTTGATATTTTTATACTTTTTTACTCAGATTTCTTACAAAGTATTATATAAAAATACATCATTACTACACGACAAAAGATGATCCTGCCAAAAAAATGAAAAAAGAATTTTTTTTATTTGAAATAAAAAAATGTCACCCTCCCGGTCCCCATGCACTATTCAATTACACATGATAGCCCTCTAGTTCCAACATATGCGGCCATATTTGTTGAAAATTTCTTTTTCTTTCCTTGTCCACCTGTCCCTAACGGAAACCACTGTTGCAAACTATGACTTTCATGACTGATTTGTCCATTTCTTTCTAGTGAGGAGAGTAGGACGATTTCACTACTCTCAATTATCAATTTTGTTGGAGGCCTAGCAGCAGTTGGCCCAATCGAATTCGAATCTCTAGCAATTATATGTAAGATTTCATCCTCTTTTTTTTTTTTACCAATTATGAGTGATAGAAATTCTCGGTTTATCTCTTGGTAAAACCAGATTCTAAA